TATGTTTCGCGTAGAAAATAATAATAATTTATATTGTCTTTAATGTAGTACAGGAATAACATTTTTTTACATAATTAACAAAGAATCGATTTTAGTGTTTTTTTTTTAAACTTTCGTCTTTTCTCATATTAATTAAAATAGTAGAATACTCTAGATAGGAAGTCCCTGCACTGATGTTGCAATTGTGTATTCAGATAAAATTTTCAAACAGACAGCTATGTCGAATTGATTTTTTATTGGTAGACACAAGGTAACTACTGCCATTTCTACATAGGTACTTACACAATAGGTACCGTTGTTTCAATGTAACAGCTATCCGAATTACTAAAAAATATATTTTAAAAAGGTTGTCAATTTATTCATTAAATCAGTTAAAAGTGTCTTTGTATGATATAAATATGATATTTCAGTGACATTGTTAGTGGTTATCTAATATGCAATATTAATTTGAAAATTTGAAATCATTTTTCGATTTTTAATCCACTACAAACTTCCCTCAAATTAATGAGGAAAATATTTTTGTTGCTGTTGTTACATCCCCGCTCTGACAGAGCGTTGGTGCGTAAAGCCAAAGGTCTCGGGTTCGATTCCCGGCGGGGGTGTGACAACAGCAACAAAAATATTTTCCTGGTTAATCTGAGGAAAGTTTGTACTGGATTAATTAAATATGATATTTCAGAATTATCCATACATAGGGTGTTCAAAATACTGAAAAATTTAGACAACAAAAACATTCTTATTTTAAATGGAACACATATTTTCGCATATTCGAATACGGTTTGTTGGGATATTTTTCGTTATTAAAACAAACAACATGTTCCAGCAATAATTTTGTCACATTTTCAATTTATGCATTAATCTTTTATCTTTTTTAATTCAAAGGTCTCAATAATGTAAATTCATACCTACCACTTAATACTAAATAATATAAAAAGATTTAACAATCGAAATGGCAATTCAATGCATGACCGACTTAATATTTAAAAATCATTAAAATTGACCATAATTTACAAAAATCAGCTATATTTTCTTATACGTAAATGATAGGTTAGGGTACGTACATACTAAACGGTTCAGAATAAAAATCCGCATTGAAAATACCTTTTGTTTTTTTGCGAATGAAAATTTAAAAAGATTTAAAAGTGATAATCTGTAAAAAAAAAAAATACAATTATTTCNAGTGATAATCTGTAAAAAAAAATACAATTATTTCTGGTAGAATAATAAAGCAAAAAAGAGTCTCATTATAGCTTCTGGTGGCCATTAAAAAAAATTAATAAAGAGACTCAAAAAAGTACAATGTCATCACTCATAATTATTTACGTATATTGCTCTCATTCGACAGTCAATAGTATTCACAGCTTTTCCGTTTCCGATGTTTCACAATTTGTAAAAAGACAAGGTTAATAAATAAATAATATATTTTGCAGACAATTATTATCATTTAGGTGTGAAGTTCTTCAACTAGTGCTTCCCGCACAGGGACATTGCCAGCTTTTGCTTTTGCATGAGCCAAAGTTGGGCCATGTCCTGTTATAGTTATATTTTAAGTTTCATACAACCCAGGACGTAGGTTCCGTAATAATCTCTGTCAGAAGTGAAATTTTTTTGGGTATAATAAGTACCCAACTAATCATAATCATTGAGAGAAAAATCTTAAAAATAGTAGATATATATGTTTTTGCATCATTAAAAAAACATTGTTAATGGAATATACTTCATGGTAATTCATAATGATGCAGGAATAAAATAAATCATGTGGTATTGGCAACTTCCACACTATTTATTGACCTTAACAATTGTTTCGCCACTTTATGGCTTCTTCAATAGATAAATTGATGTAAGTGTAAAAAAAAATAAAAAGTGCGGAAGTTGTCAATAACTTTTTATTGTATTTCTGCTTTAAAATACAAAAATGTCGCATAATTTTGCATAAGCAAAGCTTGTTGAGTATGTTATTACATTGTATTGAGTATTCAGGATGTGCCAGTAGATAACCCAAAATTTTCAATGCATGGGGTATGGGACATGGGTCATCTGTATAGTTACGACTCTGTCCCCGCATAAAATCAATTAAGTTAAAAATTTTAATAGATATCATGTATAACAAAAAAAAATTGCAGAAACATAACGAATACAACGAAAACAATCTTGCCCTGTCTCCCTACGGGGCCATCAGCGTCCTCGTGGCTTTAAAAGAGGGAACAAGAGGTGTTGCTCAGAATGAAATTCAGCAAACGCTTCATCTCCCTTACGATCCTTCAACAGTTAGAATAGGACTCCGAGATGTCTTGCGTCGATTGAAGGTTCGTAGATTTTTAAAGAAAATTTTTAAACTTTTCTGTTAGAAAAGAATCAAAACTTATAAAACTTATTTTAGACTTACTTTATCCCTGAAGAAGGCTTTTTAGCAGGCTTGACATTTAACAATGACAATATCTCATTAAAAAGCGATTACAGAGATCTTTTAATGTTCTACGGATACGATGTTGGGTCCTTTAACAAACCCCTGTATCCTTCCACTACTACGGAAAACACCACCGGTTCTGATTTATCTAGAACAACAGAGACATCGTCATCAACAACAACAAAATCCACTGAAACACCTTTAGAAGAAGAAATTGAAACCACAATTACTACTTTTGTTCCAATTGAAAATATGTTAAGAACTACGACGTTAAGTATGACTGAATCAACTACAGAAATTGAACTTAGACAAATTAGTGCAGGGATGACACCGTCCACAACTAAAGGAATAAACACCGCAGAAGAGGCCACAACAGTAATTTCAACATTATCGCCGACCTCTGAAGAGACAACTATTTCTACCCTAGTAACTTTTTCTTCTACTGAATCATTAGGAGAGCCCAGCACCCTCGACATGGAAACAACTACTTCATCTACATTTTCTACAGCATCTACTAACAGGGAAATTGAAAGCACAATTCTATCGATCACCCCCAGTGAAATGAATACATTCTCGCCAATTTCCTTAAATTTTACCGAAAATGCTTCCGATTCAGTTACATCTAGTACATATTTTTCTAGTACTGAAGGTGAAACATCAATAGAGGACATCACTACAATTCCTATAACCTCGACCACTCATATGCCTCAACCAGAAACACCAACACCAGCAAAATTAAAAAAACGAACTTCTTCGAAAAGAAAAAGAAGTCCGTACAGTAACACCCCCTCAAAATATTACTTGCCATCCAATACCAATTCAGACATTCGCCAAAATCAACAAAGTCCTAGTAAAATAAATTACGAAGTCGATCCTTCCGTTATCTCATTCCTAGTGGACGGAAAAACTCGAGAAACGAACATTAGCTTTATGACTTATAAAGCGATATTACCGTATTGTTATATACCCAATTTGAAATCTTTAGCTTTGAGTTTCCCTTTGGATAGCGAAAATTACTATCTTTTGATAATTTTACCTTTAGACGACTGTGGGGCAGATTTCGTGTTGGAAAGAATCGGATATGATATCACTCTGAGAGATATAGTTGCATCCTTAACATTTACCTATGTTAAAGCCACAATTCCAAGTTTTATGTTAAAAGGAACTGTATTGTTAACCCCTACATTACAAAAGGTAAATTTGCGATTTTTTTTACTGGGAAAAAACACATGTTTGTTATTCTTTTAGATGGGAATTACATCGGTTTTTGAACCGAAAAAAGCTGATTTTTCGGAAATGACAGAGGCAAAGGAAATTTACGTGACAAATATCGAACAACTGATAACAGTAAGGATAAGAAATTACATTGATCCAAACCAATTAGATTATTTCGGTAAATATTTTTAATTTTTAAACATCAATGCAAAATTAATTTAATTCTTTAACTTGAGATGTCGCGTGGCGGTAGAAATTAAATTAATTTCGCAGTGATGTTCAAATATTTTAATATTGAGCTTAGTTAATCTGTTATTGGAACCGTGGGAAATAGGAAGCATATCCACGTATTAATAATTATGTTTCGCGTAGAACAGCGTGATGATTTAAAAAAGTTTTTTTTTCATACGTATTGGCCTTCGGTCTCGATGCAGAGTAGCATTAAAATTAATAGCACGACCTTGTTTTACCTATTTGATCGTTATTTGTATATCGCGTGAAGAAAAATTAGTTCTCAATGATAAAGAAGAATAAAATAGGAGCTTACAACCGCAGCTGTTAACCTCTTATAAAAGTACGAAGAAATGTACAATTATTTCAACTTTAAATTTAAAAAGAATAAAAAAAGGATGACAATAGATTGCAATTTTTTTCGTTTCTTTATTCATTTTATGATTGCGCTCTAGTTTTCAAAATTAGTAGATGCAGTAAAATTATAGCCTACTGATTACTTTTTCGAGATATATTAGAGCGCTTAAAAATAAAATTAATAAAATTCAACCTTCATTAAACAATTTAAACAATTGCCCTGATGACCCTTAATAAAGTACACTATGGCAATTATTGTATACAAATAAAATTGCCCTGTTGTCTCACCTATTTATTTTAAATGAAAGATAATTGCTCGTGACGCGCGCTATTGTTTCGGTGTTAATGCCAAAATAATTGTTTTTAAACCGTCTATTGTTCGTTTTTTTGCAGGAAACCATTATTATCAACAAAATCCTGTCTGGTTTAAAGCCGATCATCCTTTTTTATATTTCGTTATGGACTCTCGTTTGCATGTCTCCCTTATGGCAGGAAAAATTACAAATCCTTTAAATTCGAGAATTAGTTAGCTCTTTTATAATTTTATGTACATTCAGTGCATAATTATTTAATTAATAAACAGTAATTAGTATGGTATCAAATACTTGTTCATTTATTTGTGCAATACTTATATATTTCTTATTCCGACTTTTATAGTAATCGAAAACACAAAATTTAATTATCCAATTGTCAAAAGCAAAAAAGAAAAGAATGTTTTGACACTTTCACTGTCATCATGGCAAATAATTTCTAACTTTTTCGCTCATTAACTCATAAAAAATTATAGTAAAACAAAAAAAGCATAAAAATGAGTTGCCCAAGAAAAGATCCAGAAATCCCCTGTAATGCTAATGATACTGATGAATATAATCCTGGTATTTTATCCAATACTGGAACAGCATGGATAAAAGTAAGTTTGTTTTTGGTTAGTTTTGTTAAGTGTTGTATAATAACAAAATCCCGTTGAAGTTTTCCTTTTTATATTTATAAGTTTAGACTCAATTTTTTTATATTTTTAAAAGACACTGAGGGAACTTTTAATGGCTCCACCGTTGAAATGTTGCGACTGTATACCTCCAGCTCAGCCATGTCCACCCCCGGAAGAAGAGGACGAAGAATTTAACGCTTGCAAAAGGAGATTACAGGAAAGAAGAGGACAAAAATAAAAAAAAAATGAAAATCAAATAAACATCATAAAATAAGATGTAAATTAGCTAAAACATTAAATAAATATTCCTACAATAAATAAAATAGGTAACTAAGTGAAACAAAGTTTGTTTATAATATTGTGACATTGGTTTTTAAATAATTTGAAATTGATAGTGTTCTAATCATTCACATATTTACATTCTTTTTTAAAGGTATGTAAAATATCTCTTAAAAAAGTTATTTACTTATTTCATATTTAATGAAAATTATTTTGTAA